CATGCCCGGGTATCGTCAGGTCTTGGAAGATGGGTTTCCAACCAGCTTCCACACTGACAAGACAACTCAGCACGGCAACCTGTCGGGGCATCTGTTACGCATGTGGGGGGAAGGATTCATATCAGCTCACGCTGTGCAAAAAATCTGCCACATGGCTTATCTAGATGGCTTGAAGCAGGATGCAGTGGGCAAGCTTGCCAGCATGGGCAGCTGGGGCAAGCATCCTGGAAATGTCACTCGGGATTTGAAGGCTTTCGTCTCCCGAGAAGTTGGAAATCCATATGCGAATTTCCGCACCGTCTCGTGCCAATGTTGGAACCCACGCACTAGCCAGAATGAGGCTGCCCAATTGGCATACTTTGACCCCAAAGATGTTTTGGACAGTCTTTTGCAGAGGCCGGATGATTTCGACCGCATCTTGAACCCGTCCGGAATCCAAGACTTCTGGGCCGGGGTCAAGGATTCCGACCCGAGATTTCAGATGCTGAGCCGAGAAGTTAATGTAAGCAAAGAGGATTTGCAAAACTGCATCCCGCTTTGGCTTCACGGTGATGGTGTGGAGTATGTCGATGGGCGATCTCTGATGGTTTACAGCATGGGTTCGGTGCTAGCCACGGGCTCGACCTTGGACAGCACACTGCTGTTGGCAGGGATCCCGAAAGACATCNNCGAGGCGATCAGGAATTTTACGCGAATTCTTTGAAGCTCCCGCACTGGCGAAACCCGCGGCCCTGTTGGGAATGCAACCTCGATGGAGAGCAGTGCTTAAATATCCAGGATCCGATCCCGCCCAACGAGATGCGACAGGTGGAGGATGAGTGCAGAGCCAGACGTTCTCCTCACCTGATTTTCACAATTCCTGNNGTCAGTCATTTCTCAATCTGCCAGGATGCCATGCACATTCTTTTCTGCAAGGGAGTCCTTTCCCACTGCATGGGAAACACCCTGAAGCACTGGTGTTGGCACAGCAATCACGCATCCTTTGCTGGCCGCCGCCCTAAGGAACGGTTGGGAATAATCTACTCCGCGATTCAGCAGTTTTACAAGCTGTACCAGACCACGGCTGTGCTTAGCCTGTTGAAGATGTCAATGTTCGTCAATGTGGACAGACCGCACAAAGAGCAGCCTTTCCTCCGAACGAAAGCTGCTGAATCCAAGGGTTTGGTGCCTGTCTTCGCCTCTCTGGCTCTGGAGTTCAACGAGGGCACCGAGACGGACGAACTCATCATCCAGCTCTACGACAGCATGTCTCAGCTGCTGGATCTCATGGACAATTCCGGACTCTTCCCTTCAGACGAGGAAGCAACCCAGGCGATGGAGTGCATGAATTTGTTTTTGGAGAGCTATTCCGATCTTAGAGCCAATGCCGAGAGTGACAAGCTCTGGCACAAAACCATTAAGTTTCACATGAGTCGGCATCTGGCTGCTGGCTTTCAGTGGATGAATCCAAAACGATTTTGGTGCTTCAGCAATGAAGACTATGTAGGTCGAATCTCGCGGCTGGCCCACAGTGCCAGTTTCGGTACCTCTCTGCTGGTGCTCTCGCAGAAGGTGGCCGAGAAATATCGGCATTTGCAGCATGTGCGCTTTTGCTTGGAGTAAAAAGTAGCCGTGCACCTTTCGCATGCAGCTTCGGCATATTCTAATGGTTCACTGATCGATGCATCCATGCAGCCGTCGAAACCCGAAGCTATACTATAGCNNGCCATGAACCCTGCAGTGGACTCAGATGCAGCCATTCGTGCTGCGAACAGAACGGCGAAGCTGTGGCGATGGCACGAACGCACAGTCCAGGAATGGGCACCTCTCCACGGAGCCAGTGGAGACTGGCTGATGCGATGGCTGGTTCCGAAGCCCATTGAAAAGGAATCCAAACAGCTCTGGGAGAACCGAGTCCATCATTTCAAGCAGCTCATGAGGTCGGCACCGTCTACTCCAGTGCTCCGGCTTGCTGTGCTTCAGGCTCTGAGTGAGGGACCTGCTGAGCTGCTTCGCTAAATTTGCTCTTCGGAGCACAATCCTGCAAAATAATTAGGAATTATACGCTGAGTGC